AGGCTTGATGGGCAATCCTCCTCCTCTCCAATGCTTACATAAAAGGATGTTCATTGTGAGTAGAGCGAGTCTCATGAGCTCCAAGTCAGTGAAAAGAGAAAGAAAGAATTTTATAACCAAATAAAGGTGAGAGTTTCTCTTTATGCTCTTGAGGTGAATGGATGTAAATGACTTTTTGGATGGAACTCCATGCAGCTTGCAACGTTTGAATCTGGGGCGCTTGCATTGATGGAGTGGAGAGAGAGAGAGAGAGAGAGAGAAATAATGTTTTAACGAACGATATTTTGTTGATGTGAGCGTCGGTCATGTGTGGTCGTCTGCTGTGTTGCATACTCTTTCCTCGTCAAATTTGCCGATACGTGTAGAATATGAAATTCAAACTTATAATCTATCATGATAAATAATTCTAAATTGATGTTGTTAGTAATATATTTAAGTTTTTTCACTTATTCAATAAAGCTTCTTCAATAAAGTTTAATAAAAGATAAGAATAATTATTGAAAAAGTAAAAAAACTTAAATACATTAACATATTTCCTCTCCTATTTATACAGGAACAAGTATTTTCTTCAACAATGAATTTTTCTCAACAGAATATAAAGATTTTATAGTATAATTAGAAAATCTTTTCTTCTAGAACAAACATATATATATTAAATTCTGACAGTGTTCATGTGTTCGATATAACCACTGATCCACGGCTATAACTGCTACTCGGAAGCAGTCGAGTGGTGTTGTGTTCTTCCTTCGAAAGTACAAACCCCGAAGTCAGAAGTCGACTCATCACGAGCCATGTTGCGGGAACAGCTTCACTACCCTTTTGTCGCTGGAAGCCTTTGTCAGACGCACGCACACCCCTTTCACCTTTTCTTTTGGCTTTACCCAATACCCACCACCGCGTGCGGAGCAGTCAAAAAAAGACGGTGGAGCTGTCGCCGTGCGTCCTACGCCCTCGAGAACGTCTCGAGCTTGGTGAAAGGGAAGCGTGGCGAGTATGGACTTCTGCCTGCTCTCCTTGCAGCGGCAAAAGCGCGCGGACGCCGTGATTCATTGTTCGTTCCATGCTGCAGTGGCGCAAGTTTTCTGGGAGTTAATACTATTTCATTCCATGCTTCTCTTTCTATCTCTCGTCGTTCATTGTTCACTGCCGCATAATACATGTTTTTGTTCATCCCTAAACTCTACTTGTGTTCCAACCTTTCACGAGACGATCGAGTTCTTTCTTTTCGGCCATCGAACTCCATCTCGTTCATCATTCACGCAATGAGAGTCTGGTTAGCTCGCATAACATTTACTATCCCTTTAAGAAATAAATGATCGAGATCCCTCGTCTCTTATTTCGAATACTACCATTCGTACCGGGTGATACATATCGGTTCGTCAATAAATCGGTACGCGAACTGTTCGCTATTGAACCGTACCATCGATTGGGGTTATTTTCGTCCTATTATCATCCAAAATCGATCAGTGATGATTGATTTTAATAGTCGTCACCCGCTACCGGGTGGTATTAGTCGAGAGAGAAAAAATAAGAAGGAGAAAAAAATGGAGAACCTGAAGATCCAGCGCCACTCTCCCTCAACGATCCCGATCTGTCGTCGCCCTCCCTCGTTAGACGTCACAGAGGAGATGTCGCTTTTTCCTCGTCTAAGGCGACGAGGCCTAAGTATCATCGGTGACTTCTTCTCATCCGTGTGGGGAGAAGAAGTCTCGACAATGTCACAAGGAGAAGAAACTAAGTGTCGTCAAGGCAACGTTTCTTCTCCCCACGCGAGCAGAAGAAACGAGGTGATGGTCACCTAGTCGCCCTTTTTTGCGCTGGGAGAAGGAAACATCAACTTCTTCTCCCCACACGGGTAGAAAATCGAGGCAACATCATATATATATATATATATATATATATATATATATTAGTACATCATAATGTACCGCTCGGTATACTCATACGGTACCGTATCGAGCTTAGCTCGATACTTTGGTACAATACGAAATTACCAACCTTGAATTATATATTATCCTATGTATTTAGCTACTTTTAATATCCTGATCCTTACACTTTAAAATGTTACATTTACGTTCATATAATTATGAAAGTAAAACATCTATGTCTATTTAACCTAATGATGTCTGTTTTATCAACGTAAACTCGAAAATAAAAGGTAAAAAGATTATTTTAAAATTTTAATTAGTGGTGACAGATAGCATCGGTGGTGGCGGACGATGGCATCATGGGTGAGTGTTATGGATGAGAAGAGAGACGATGAGAGATGAGAGTCATTTTGCATCTGTGTCGACGTCGACGCAATTCCTGAGTGACCCTTTCATTGCTCTGCATTTGCGTCGACGTTGACACAATTGCCAAGTAGCGAAAGAGTCATTTGGCATTTATATTGACACAATGCATATGCCGAGCGATGCCACTCGATAACTACGCTAATGCATATACAAAACAGCGTTGCTCAGCATCTGCATCGGTGGCCCTTTCGTGGCTCAACGACTTCGTTGACACTAACAAATGTATAGAATGTATAGAGCGACAAAAGGGTCGCCCAACAATTACGTCAACATTGACATAGATGTAGAATCGCCCTCACCTCTTGTCGTCGTGCTCTTTTTCTACAACATCTACTCATAGCCTCCAACTCTATCGTCGTCCATCACCACCAAATGAAATACTAAAATTATCTTTTTACCTTTTATTTTTGGTGATAAAATCGATGACGTTAAGGTAAATATATCTAAATGTTTAACTTTTGTAACTACGAGAATATCAATATAATTTTTAAAAATATAAGAATCAAAATATTGAAAATAACTAACTGAAATTAGTAACCCACAATCGCACAGGCATCTTGTGACCCATCAATCGTCCTGTGATCCATCAATATAAAGCTCAACACGGTTAGTATCATTCATCATCACATCTAAATCAATCTCGTGGGCATCTTCCATCATAATCACATCACATGAATCTTCACGTCCGTACTCATGACTCGGATTTCCTAATAATTTTCAAGATTGTGCTCGGCTTTTCGTGAATCGTATCGAGTTCATATCTGTCCGAAGAGGGCGTTACATTCTTACACTGCTGACACGCGTACACGTCCTCATAACTACAATATTTAGTTCCATGCAGAGACCACTAACATAAGTTGCATTTACCCACACGAGACCACTAACATAAAGTACTGACATCCACTTTTGGTCCAAATTGTACCCTTATGTCGATCTCCAACTTTCCTCTGCTTAGATCATTGCCATCACAGCTTATGTTGAATCAAAGATCGATGTGGCTCTTATATTCACTTTATCTGACATAAAGCTTCATATTAATGATTAAAGCCACGACGGCCGCTTCGTGTCTGAAGCCACGGCTTCACTCAACTTATAACTAAGGATAGACTAGCACTAAGATACAAGGGGCCGAGAAGGGTGTGAGATGTGGCAACCCCTACTTAACTGGAAATTTAAATCCAATATGATCAGTGAAAGATTTATTTTTATTAGAAACTTCTCGTTTTAATCCGTATAAATTATATTGATGACATATTTTGAGCACATTAACATAAATAAAATTATTTTAAATAATTTATCAGAAAACACTCATAATATCATACTTTTATCCCGTAGTGTCCCCAAAAATCGATAATGTCATTGTATCATCTTATTTAAAGCCACATAGGTATGAGTTGGTTTGGTTCAATCTAATCATCATAATTCGAATTAGATAAGTTTAGATCAAATTAGTTTGGATTAGATCGAGTTTTGTTAAATCTATAAACAAATATAACTTAAGTGTGATGTAAGTGTAACTCTAGTGTAATCAAGATATCTTCGTTAAATCGATCTAATTTTTTTTAGAAATACTAGCACATGATTTTGAGATATTTAGTATTATTTTTTAAAATTTTTATTATTTTAGGATAAATTGAATGTAACTTTTTTTTAAGGTAAACTACGAGGAAAGGGAGAGAGAGAAGATCCAGTGAGAACAGAGAGAAAAGGAAATTAGGAGAGAGAGAAAAAGAAAGATACATTAGAACTAAAGTGGGTGGGTGAGGAAGCAAAGGTGGATTAAGAGGAGGACGAGGGAGCAAGAGAGAGAGATGAGGAGGAGGAGATAGAATGGAAAGAGAAAGCTATGTTAGAGTTGCGGAGAGAAGATGAGGAGACGAAGATGTAAAGAGAGGAAGAGATGAAGTGAGATGAGAAGACGGAGATAGAGACGGATGAGGATGCAAAAAGAAAGGGTTAGAAGGAGAAAGACAATGTGAATGAGGAAAAATAGAAGAGTGGAACAAGGAGTAGGAGCAATCGAGAAAAGGTGGAAGGAGAAGACGATGAAATAAGATAAGGGAGATGAGATTAATTTAAAAAAATTAAGAGATACTCTAAGGTTTAATTGATTCAATTAAATGGTTGTGACTTAATCAAATCGATTTGATTTAATTTTAATTTAAATTAATTTATTTAATCCTACAAAATTAACTCAAATCTAGTAAGTATAATCAATATTTTTTTATAATTATATTAAAATTATTTTGATTAAAAAAAATAAAAGATAAAAATAAAATACGAAGGCACCATCTCCTTAAAAACCGACTAGGAGGGATTTTTTTCGATAAATTATTTAATTATTTTTATGTTTCATATTACATTCGGGAGAGAGGAGTCTATTTTAATTATTTTTACATCAGTGTTAGACCTCATTTATCACATCATGACTACGTCAATACAGAGAAGATAATAGTAGCGAAGAAAAGTCAACCACGACCTTTTGACGAAGCTTTGAATTATCCAGCGGTCGAGGAGGTGAGCGGTAGTCGGGAAATCCTATTAAAACGGGATAAGATCGAATCAACAGGATGTCCGAATCTTAAAGTGTGATCATCCTACGTGTCATCTCTCGTTGGACAATGGACAATTAACTCGTTCCAAGGAGAGTCGTCGGGCCTTCCTTTTTCCTTCCACGGCACTCTCCCAGTGAGTAATTAATGCCTCCGCTACTCCCTCCAAAGCAGCCGTACCTCTTCCTACCTCACCCTCCTCGGCAAACTCCATCAGACTTTTTGCTGGGAATGCAGTGGAGAAGCGGTAAACCCTGACCATTTCTCGCTTCTCTACTTTGTCTTGACGTTCCGCATCTACAAGCATTTCAAAAATCGCACGTTGACCGACCCCATTCTGTCCCGTTTCTGAGTGTAGGAGAAGGTTGGAGATGGAGGGGCGAGTGAGGAAGCACGGCGGCCAAGCCAGCCCGGAGAGCGCCCGAGCTTGGGCGGAGCCGCCAGTGCCGCCCTCTCTTCCGCCGCATGCGAAGCTTCCGCCTCCGCCGTCGCCTCCCCAGGGATGGAAAATCCCCGTTGTGTATTACCTCTGCCGGAACCGCCACCTCGAGCATCCCCACTTCATCGAAGTTCCCCTGTCTTCCCTCGATGGCCTGTACCTGAGAGGTCAGTTGTTCTAATCAGACATAAGCCACTCGAAAAGGTTGGATTTTTCACGAACTGTATTGCTCTGGCTGGGGTTTACGTCGTGTTTTGCTTTGTAGATGTGATCAATCGGCTCAATATGTTGAGAGGAAAGGGCATGCCCGCCATGTATTCGTGGTCTTGCAAGAGGTAGTGAGGCACCGCGATGTCATAAAAACCCTTCCTTTTTTTTCGCTTTGAAAACCATTTTACATTTGTCTGTGTTCTTACCTACGAACATGATGGTTCAGGAGCTACAAAAATGGGTTCGTGTGGCATGACCTCGCCGAGGATGATCTCGTGCTCCCGGCCAATGGCAACGAGTATGTTCTCAAGGGTTCTGAGCTCTTGGACCAGTCTCCTTCAGGTGCCCTTTAATGGAAAGCATAGTTTTTTCTTTCAAGAAACCTCTTTTGGAGCCGTACTTGTGATAGAAAGCTAAGGAAGAACGTTAGATTTCTAAACCACTGTCGTTGTCCGGTACTGTTGCTCATTTAGATCGAATTCATCAAAGCAATGGCAACCCGAGGTTGCCAAATCTGAAGCCCCAACAGCAGGAGAACCCCGCACTTTCAAGAACTCAAGAAGCCGCTGCTTCTTCCTCCTCTCCCCCTGCCTCAACTGTACTCAAAGATCTCAAGCCATCGCCGTCACTGCCTTCCCCACAAGACGACGAGCATTCCCCCTTGCTTCGTCAGCCCGGTTTGCCAACCAACATATCACCGGATCATGGACCCCGTAGGCCTTCCTCGTGGGAGAACAGTTCGTCGGTCGCTGCAGAGTACCGAGCATACAAGCCCGTTGGTGCGGCAGATGCTTCAACCCAGACCGAGGATGGTGGAGGGAGAAATGCCCTTGGAAGTCATGCCACCTGCATTAGAGGAATCTCAACTGATGACAACTCGATAGATCTTGAATTCGAGGAGAAGCGGTGGAACCGTGACATGCGATCCAAAGAGGGTTCAGAGACAGGTGGGTATGAAATTTCCCCTGCTCCAACTTTGTCGAGCGAGTCATCCTCTAGTGGGAAGACAGAGACCTTGGAATCTTTGATAAGAGCTGATGCCGGTAAGGTTAACAGCTTTCGGATACTTGAAGAGGAGGAAGTCCTCTTTGATACAGGGCCAAAGGTGAGGCCAACCAATGTGCTGATGCAATTGATTACATGTGGGTCAATCTCTGTGAAGGATCACCACAGCTTCGGACTAGTGCCAACCTACAAGCCGAGGTTCTCCCATGCGAAGTTCCCTTCACCGATGTTTGGTGGATCCATGACCCTCGGAGAGATTGATTACCTGTCAGAGGATCCGAGGCTAATAAGACTGAGACTAGATGAGAAGGAATATTTCAGTGGGAGCTTAATTGAGACTAAGAAGCACAAGGATACAGTAGGGCAAATGATGCCCACACTCAAACGTTCTTCTTCATATAATGCAGATAGGTACGTTTGGCTTATGGTGCCCATGTTCATACCCAAAGCTTAATCTATGTTTCTTTTCTTAATAGATCTTTTTGAGGAAAAGTTTAATGCTCTTTTGCAGTAGTTACTTCTAAATCAGATAGCTACAGATTCTTGGTCAATCTAAATTAGTTAAAGCACCTAAAGTACAAAACCAGGAGCTATGCAGTTGACAGTGTGAGTAACATTGTGACCAAGAAAGATTAAATAGTTTCCTGAAGATGGAGGACTTGTCCATCAGTTCCTATGTCTACATAGGTCGACGCACAGTACTTAAGATAGTATAAATAGTGAAGTATAGCTATTTTTTGAGCTATATTTCGTGTGAAAGAATTTTAAACATGTCATTTTGAGTTGTTGAATTGTCTATTCAACTATGGTATAATGAGGTTATTCATTTTTGAAAATAGGGAATTTACTGCATAGTACACTGAAATTTTCAAGCCTAGCATAGAGAATTCAATTCTCTGTGAGCTTGCAGTACTAGAAAGTGAATGCTATCAAGAATATGGCAGGATAAGCTGATATTTGAGTTCCAGTCATATTTTGTATGAAATATGATCTCGTCTTCTATGATGTAGAACTAACTATTATGTTAAATTTGCTCTTTTCCTTGGTTCTTATCCTAGTGTTTCAGCAATATACATTCATCCAAGTGGTTAGGCCCTGTAGTAGCTTGCAATAGTGCTACTGTTTCTTTTGGTAATGCTACATTAGAACTTGATATAGATAACTCGGTGACTCTCAGGAATAGCAAGACACCAGACTCTAAGCAGGACATCGAAAAGCTAGTGGATTCATCGCGATCGAAGTGCCTCCCGCGTGCAATTAAGATGACATCGAACAAGCAGCCCAAAAATGAAGCACATAGGTCATCTATTTCAGATGGCCCAAGGAAATCTTCTGTTGGGCAAGACTGCAAGGAACTGCCAATAGGTGAATACCAAAAGATCACCTTATCAGTCAATGCATCATCCACCAGCGTAGAATCTTTTAAGGAACGAAAGGAGAAGGTGATCAAGATTGAGGAAAGTTACGTTGTCTCTCATTGCCCTTGTCACCTGTTATTATGACCTTGCGCTGCTTCATCTCTTGATAGATTATACTTGTCTCCTGCAGACTTATGTCAGGGGCTCGTGTTACAATTCAGTCTAGAGCTCCATGCGATGATAGTGAGGGTGGTTCTGATTCTTGAATGGATCTCGGCGATGAATCATCCAGTGTATTATCGTCAACCTGTTGAGAGGTGAGCATGGAGAAGGCTGTTATCATATGTGCATTTTCATTCAGGTTATTCAATCCAGTATTTACAAGAAATTCCATTTCTATCCTCCCAACCTTGCTTTATCTGCAATTGTTTCTATTGTGCAATGATGGAGGTTGTATTTCACCCGCTTTTTCTGTGCCTTTGAGATAAATATTTCTCTTTAATGAATCTCGTCACTTCCATCTTCATCCAGGTTTTCTCTTAGTCTAAAAGAAGGTAATGTTCAACGTGCCATCAGCAACCAGCAGAAAAGTTACAATCTTCATCACGGCCGCCTGGATTATGGCAATCACTCTTGTCCACCAATTCTAGTGATTCAACATCAAGAGTTGGTTTCAAATTCTGTCATCTCTTTGCGGATTGTACGAGCTGCATTGTGTAGGAAAATGACTTGAATTATGTTGATGATGATGATGTAATATACATCCTTGTTCACTGGTCTCTACTCTGTTATTTGGAAAGATTGCTCTTTGTAAGAACTAGCTAGATTCAAGAAATCTTCCGACTGAAGAGACTTACAAGGATATCAGGCTATTGTATCCCAATGGATGTAATCTATGAAACCTTTGGAAATGCAACTTGTGTTGATTTTAGATGCTAGTATTTTTATATTACATAGGCTTTTGAAAACTGATCCAACTTTGGGAAAAAAGATATAATTGGAAGTTTATGATTTTTCATTTAACTTTCAAGGTCAAGGGGTGTATATATCTTGATTTTTACAAGGTATTTTTTTTACTATGTTATATTTTGCTCATATCACATAAGGTATATTTACATCGTTCCAATCATATAATGTTTGATAAGAGAATACTATCTTCATCAATTTAGGGATGATTCATTTAATATGTCAGAATTTTCTAAATATATTATCATTTTTAACATTCTCCTTGCACTAATTTTTAAGGAGGGAACAAACTCCTAAACGGATCCATACTTTCTTCCGGTTTTAATAATTTAATATTATGAAAAAAATATATTATATTTGTTATGTGCTTTATACACAACAAGATTTCTTTCTATTTATACATGTTAGTAGAAAAGATTTTTCTCAACAGAACAGCGAATACATATTGGCTGGAACAGAGTGAAGATGATAGTGATTTGATCTTATTAATTTTGTTCTCACTACAATACATTCAATTTTAATATATTTTGTATGCTCATAAAAGATGAGATTTACTATAATATTTAATTCTACATTATTCTCACAATGTAATTTGATAGGCTCCAACAAATCAACTCGTAAATCTCATAAAAAAATATTTTAATTATGTAAATTCATAAGTGATTGCTACCAATACCTAGAATTGATCTTCTTATGGTTAAATAACCTCCATAATTATTATCACAATGCTTAATTAAATTTAAACCACCCAAAAAAAAAAGTACTTTGTTCTGATGTTCATTTTAAATATTACAAAACTTAGATTACCACAACAAGATTTGGTTTCCAAGGTTGAAGAATAAATCGATTAAGAGGTCTTGTGATTGTAAGATAAATAAGTCACCCAGCAAGCCTTCTCTGCTATGATAAATAGTTAAGAAGTTCATCAGTAATTGAATCCAAGGAGACCCATATCGTCAAAAACCATCAAATAAATATATGCTTTCGCTTCTCAATGTGTTACTTCCATCTCAAAGAAATATTCTAATTTTTCAAGATCCATAATTCAAAATTGTTCATAGAGAGATTATTATGATAGCATGACCATTGTCATCTATAATTATAAAAAGAGTTGTTAATATTATTCATGAGTGAAAGTTAAAGAGTCATTGATTGTGAGTTGTTAGCGAAAGGATGTTACTATTTTATTTCTTGATTTCTATTCTTTTGTGAAATTTATGTCTATGAGAGAAGCCATGCAAATCATAACATCGATCAATATTGTGGTTGTTCTTGTTATAATGACTATAATGTAATTTTCCTTATATTTTATTTTAGAGTTATTGTTAGGATTGTTTTTTTGAGAATTTGCCAACATAACATCTTTAGAGACGATTCTCATTGTTTTTATTATTAAAAAAATTTAACTAATAAACTTTTTTTTATTAGGAAAATTTTAGCATGAATAGTAGAATATGAGTAATTCAAACCCATGAGAAATTGTATTGTCTTGTCTCTTTCCTTGGATGACTCTTTGCCTTTTTACAATAACTATAATATAATTATTAATTTTAATTTATTTGATGAGTTATTATTAGAATTCGTTTTTCTAAAAACTTAACAATATAACCTATTTAGAGATTGTTAGGAAAAGAATCAACACTAAAAAATGAGGATGAATTATCAATTAGTTTCATCACCAAAATCTAAGATTCAAACGGAAATGACCCTCATTATTTTTTTAGTTAGAAAATCACCGAATAAACTTTTTCAACAATAGGCAACAGATGCATTAGGAGTATTTTAATACTGATGGTAGAATATGAGTCATTTAAATTCATGATAAATTATATTACATTGCCTCTTTGCGCTCGTTCCTCAACTTCCTTCGGTACACCACGCATGCAGACATGTAGTTCAATGTAGGTGGAAAATTCATACCATAACTCTTCTGATTTGGTGAAATGGGCATACCTTGAAAGTTATATTCTCTCCGTTTGGAATATTAGCGAAATTATATTTTTTTTAGCTATTAGCAAAATTAGATTCGGTAAAGTTGAGGAACTAAGATAATATCATATCATTGTATTTTTTTAAATGTGAATTTTTTTTTTGTCTATACAGAGTGTTAATAGCTTGATGTCTTGGATCAGGACTCGGTACAGCTCAATCAAGGTACGAATTCATCTAGGTGAGTCTTTTTGAGGGAAGGATGGAGTGGTTGAAGTTGAGCTGGCAAGGGTGATTCCGAGGTTATCCCGAGGAGTATATTTGATCTCCTTTAGAACCTTGCATGATAAGTCTACGTCGGTGGGATTCCGGACCTAACCCCTCAAAGACTTTAGTTAGCTAATGGGAAATTGGTTCTATATCTAGTTGGGTTTTTCGGGACCAGTCCCTCTTTAGACATCGGGATTTGGTTTTTCATACCTACGAAACCGACAAGAGGGAATTATGATTATAAGGGTTACACGTACCTCCTGCGATGCATTCATGCGAGCGATTGACTCGTACAACCCCCTACAATATGGGTTGGCATATCCGGGCTCTTATGGTATGACGCTAATCTATACTGCCTTCTACAGCATGGAATTAGCAAGAGATAATTAAGGGAGTGCCAATCGCCAACCTAACCCTCTCGACAAATGCCATGTTATCCTTACAT